TGTTTCTTCTTATGTAGTCACCACCTAGTTCAGGACCATATCATCTCTCAACTGAACTATTATATAATAGTCGCCTACTTGGTCTCCCTGACACAAGTTCTCTCCTCTCTAATCCACTCTTCACACAGCTGTCAAAGCAATTTTCCTAAAGCACAGGTCTGACCTTTTCATTCCCTTTTTCAATAAACTCCAGTTCTTCCTTGTTCACTGTAGGATCAATATGACTTCACCTTTCAAAATTTTAACTTTTATGGAAAATTTTAAAATATACATAATTATTAGTACAGTACTACATGTAAAAATTTATAAATCAGCAAATATGCACACACTGAGGGTGGATGCTCAAAATTATTTTGCTGATAAGGGTGTATAATCAAAAATGTTTGGAGCCCATTGCCTTATCTACTAGCAGAAGAGAAAAAACTGTTCTAAAAGTGAAGACACCAACAGTATGCAGAATATTCTCAAGGCAAAAATGTGACAGATGTCTAGTCAATTAATTTAAAAGACTGAATGACATCTAGAACAAAGAAACGTAATAAATGGTAAAGGAGAAACTAACTATGAAAACAATTGCTATTCTTAACATTACAATCTAGGTGAAAATAAAAGCCATATACATAAAAAAAATTAGCTTCTTTAGGAGAGTTGGGACTAGAATAGGCAGAGGAAAAGAAGGTACTCAAGATAGATATTATATGAGCAAAGATTGGAGGGGAAAAGTATATGGGAAGTTGGAGAAAGGGGAACAAAGGGAGCAAAAAGAAAACAGATCAAGTTGACTGGAGTGAAGGCTCTATACAGGGGAGTTGTAGGAAATGAGAAGAAGCATAAGTTGGTGTCAAATTGTGGGGAGCCCCAAAGGTAAGGCTAACAAATAGAACCTTACCCTGTAGTTGCTTCTGTCTGAATAGTTTTACACTTCCAAGAATTTCTGGTATTTCAGAGATATACTATAACGATGACTCTTTACCACTCCTACTATCTTTTGAGAAACAAATTAAGGGTAGAGACTGAGATCTTTATACAGGAAACATTACTTAAATCAGATTATTAATAAGGAACTGGACACAATTCAAGAACAGCATATATACTACTTCTTATATAATTAAGAGGGGAAGGTAGGAGGTTAGTTATGACTTTTAAGACCTCTTTGAATTCTGAGTTAATTATTTTGCTCTGAATTTTCAAGATTTTACTCACTAAGTAAGGGAAATTGCCTCAAATCAGAGCTTCTTTCTCACTAAAGGCATAAGAAATTAAGGATTTTACAATGTGCTTTCAATTTCTAGGTCCAACAATTAATTCTTTATACTAAATGACTGAATTTTGACTATATTGTTATACTGGAAGAGTGAGGAGTTAAAGACGACTCAAAGGTTAACCTTAATGACTGGGAAAATGGTGGTGCCCTTGACAGTAATAGGAAAATTTGGAAGAGATGTGGGTTTGGGAGGAACAGTATTTTTGATCATTAAATAACTACACAGCCTTTATTAGTACCCATTTAATATTTGCTTATAATATGTGCTATATTTTGAAATTATAAACTTCTTTTTATTTTAACATAACATAATTTAGGTTTTTCATTAAATCAGGCAACTATCCCCTCCCAACTACTTGGATCCCAAACCCCTTTCCCTCATCTAGCTACTTTTCTGAATGATGTATTGCTGTGGTCTATAGATACTTACATTGTTTCACAGGAAATCCATGAAACATGTACAAGCTAGATGTACATCAATCAATGTTGGAAAATGTGCAGACTGTGATAAATTTCAGATGCTTTCTCCTACAATACATCAGAAAGAACATTAGGCCTAGAATCTGAGGGTCTAGATTAAAATCCTGCCTTGGGCTATTACTACCTATGTGACCCTGAGCAAGTCTCTTAAACTTCTTGGGCATCTTCTCATATGTAATATGAGAAGGTTCAACTAGATGATCTCTAAGGTCCCTTCCAGTTTAAGAGCTATATTATGATTCTGTAATATGTTAATGCCATTGCTTATTATGTCACAGTTTTAGATTGGGGAGGAGTAACCTATTCCTATCACACAAATTTAAATACCTTCCCATAACAACAAAAATCAGAAACAAAAACTATCCAAAGAACACATATGACAAAACAAGAAATATTATGCCCTAGTGGTCCCCACCTTTTGGCTGAGGACAGAAGAATTTTTCATTACCTATTTTCCAGAACAATCTTTTTTAAAAAAAAAAAAAAGATAGTTTCTTTTCTTTTTTTTTTAATGATATCTTTGTCTTAACATTTTCTTTTCCAAACATATCTTTCCCATCTCTCCTACCTAGGTAGATATGCTCTAGGTAGATATGCTCTGTAATAAAAATAACAGACAAGTGAAGGGGAAAAAGTAGATTAGTAAACCTAATAACAACAAAAAATTAACCAAGTCTGACAGTACTGCAATGCTCCACACCCATCTTTCCCTCATCTTTGCATTTTTTCTCCAAGGCCAAACTTGGTCATTGTAATCACACAGCATTCAAGGTTGTTTTATTTATTTACTTATTATGTGTGTGTGTGTGTGTGTGTGTGTGTTCCTGTTGTTGTTGTTACTGGTCTTTCCATTTACAGTCTTATAATCACTGTATATATTGCATTCCTGTTTTTGCTTACCTCTGTCTTCATCATGCCTAAGTCACAGTAATTCTGTCATGCCTAAGTCACAGTAATTCTGTTTCCTGTTTATCTAATCTATGCCACTGATCTTTTTTTAATCAGTAACAAGTAGTTTTGATGACTACTAATTTATAGTATAACTTGTTCACATACTCTTTCTTATTAATTCTCTTGAGATTAAAAAACTTTGTTGTCCAAATGAATATTGTCCTAATCACATCTAGTTCTACAGAGCCTCCCCTTGGCTGGCAAAAAGTCCTATACCAATGCCTCATCGTGGTATAGAAGTGAGCCTTGGTTTTCAAAAGTGCCAGTGAAGCATAAGCTCTGGGCAGTTCTACCATGCTATTTATTCTTTCCTGGATAATTTATGTTTTCAGGTTTATCAAACATTGAATTATTGAGTTCAAATATTTGATTCTTTTGTCCTCTCTATTCCATTGATCTACTTTTCTATTTTTTAACTAGTTCCAAAAGAATTTTTATAATTGCTACTTTAATATGGTTTAAGATCTGGAAGTGCTATACTATACTATACTATTAAATGGGAAAAAAATGATTGGAGCTACCTAACCTGGGATTTGTGAACTCAAAAAATTCTTTTTTGATAACTACATTTCAATAATTGGTTTCCTTGGTAATCCTAAACATATTATTTTATGAAGGGGTCCCTAGACTTTCTCAGACTGCCAAAGAGGTCCACAACATAAAAAAAGGCTACTGCTCATCTAGATGAATTCTAAGGTCCCTTCCAACTCTCAATCCATCATCTTCTGATCCTCGAAGATTCATTTTACGACTTACCTCTTCTAACATCTGTTGAACTGAAGAAACCTCATCCTAGTGATCATAAGGATCAAAGACTGAGAACTGGAAGGACTATCAAAGTTTATCTTAACCAACTCCCTCAGTTTACAGATGGGAAAACTGAGGCCTAGAGAAGGTAAATTACTTGCATAAGATCACACAGGTGACAAGCAACAAAGCTGGGATATGAAGTGAAGTTCCATGACTCCAGATTCAGTGCTTCTTCCTGTGTGCCATCATGTTGTCTCATTCTTTTGCTATCATTATCTATCATATTTAAGAGAACTCACAGGATTGGGTTATATTTGTGCTTTTTGTTTTTTAATTCCTTTACTATAATCCCTAATTAGTATCCTAGAGAACAGCTGCTGCATCTTCGGTTTCTCAGAGTTCCAGGTGAAGTGCTGCAAACAGGGGAAGCCTTCAAACACTTGTCAAATGAAAAAAGAAGCCAATCTCAATGATACATGAAAACAAATTCTCAGGTCCAAAATATGCCACTTGGATCTCCTAAACGAATGAGAAACTTCCTTAATGGCACAGTAATGGACATACAACAAAGGACTCAAGCACGGAAACAGTACAAGACATAGATGCACAATTTGGCTTTGTGAAGGAGACTGCACATAATCAAGTGGATGTTAAGGGCAGGTTCTACAACATGGCAGCTTGAAAAGAATGTCATTAACACGTTTGTGTGCTGTTGCATCCAACTACCATCCCACCAAAAAGCACTAGAAATGTAGGCTTGTACAATTATTTATCTGCTATAATCTACCTGGGCAAAAACTGTTTCTTATCTAAACTTCATATCTTCTTTAATACCTTGCACAGCGTCCTTCACATAGAAGGTGATTATGTATACCTACCAACCCAATGCATATTCATATTTGTATCTAAGTCATTTATTCCATCTTTATTTGTTTTTACCTCATTCATCATAAGACACTTAGGAGAAAAATTTATACGTGGAAGCTCAATTCATATTTACTGGTGAAAACCAGAGGAAGAGAATCCCACCAAAACTCAGGTTGCCCTATGATAACCAATTTTTCAGGCTCCTAACCCCTGGCATGCCATAGTCCTATTTCTACCCTTACAAAGAAAGGTGAGTAGAATACTCTTCAAAGCGACAGGTCCTAAAAAAATAATAATTATATATAGTGCTTTAAGGTTTGCAAAGTGCTCCATTTTATCCTCACAACAACCTCTATTATTATCTCCCCCATTTTACAGATGCAGAAACTAAGGATAAGAGAGGTGGAGTGACTTGCTCAGATCACAAAGTGAGAGTCTGAGGTGGGATTTGAATCTATGTCTTCTTTGACTTCAAGCTCAGTACTCTAGCCATTATACCTCACCAACTCACAAAGTCAGTCTTCAGCTCCATTTGATCCACTGCACAGGATAAATCCCTCCATGTATCATAAAAAGGAAGAAAGAGAGCTATAAATGAAAACAGAATTATATTGCAAAAGGACACAAGTATTTTTCCTCATTCTCTTTGAAAAGGCCAATAAACAGATTTGTAAAATGGGATACTCACATCAGCATAGTGACCTTTCATATTGCACCGTTCACAATGTTTTTTCCATGAAGGTCTTTCAAGGCATTTGTGGGAGTAACACGCAGGCAAAAAACAATCTAAACAAAACCGAGCAGGGCAGTCATACTGCAGATGTCCTCTCTCGGCACACAGGCAACAAGCACGTATTTTCTGCAGAGAAGAAAATGTGATATAGAAAAACTTTAGTCCTTTGTATGCAAAAAAGGGAGTAAAAACCAGACTAGAACTGAACATAAAACATCACAATAAATGTGTTATATGTCTAAAGACTTATGAGAAGGAATCTTGCAATGGTAAACAATGAGACACAAGGACCAGGTTGAGATTAAATTTTTAAAATGAATTTGACTGCAGTCTAACATACTGTTCCAAATCCATTTACACACGTGATTATTTCAGGATATAAAATTTCTCAAGAGCACTTTTATAAGATAGAATACTAATTTTTTTACTTGAGAAGCAAAATTCTTCTGTGATATTAAATTCTTAGCATATTTTTAAGTCAAAAACTTTTGAAAGATGTTTGACAAGAGTCATGTTAGATATGACTACTAAAAAAAAGCTAAAGAAGTGTTCAGCTACATTGACTGAATCACAATATTAACATCCATTCACACAGGGTGTGGCGAGGGTAGTTAGACCAAGCTTGCAGGGAAATTAACAGGCTATATCATCCATAGTAAAGTGACTAGAATGGACAGTGGGCTGAAAACCATACTATAGGAAAGAAGTAGGGGAGCTAGAAAGCACAGGGGACAGAACGCTAGGCCTGGAATCAGAAAGACCCAAGTTGAGCAGTGTGATCCTAGGCAAATCCCTTAACCACTCTCTGTCTCAGTTTCCTCAACTGGAAAATGAGGATAACAGCAGCACCTACCTTCCAGGGTTATTGTGAGGATCAAATGAGATAATAATTGGAAAGTGCTTAGCGAAGCACCTGGCATATAGTGTGTGCTAATATAAATGTTTATTTAAAAACAACAATACAACAACTAAGGCTGTTTAGCCTAAAGAGAAAACTAAAGGGAGACATGATAGTTACTGTAATAATACTCGGAAGATTTTTATGCAGAAAGAGAAGACTTTGTGTTAAAGGGAGTAAACACTGGACAAGGAGCCAGGAAAACTATGACCGCATTACTAGCATTCATTATCTTCATTTATAAAGTTGCTAAGTTGGACTGCTTAAAATCAAGGGTCATTAATCTTTTTTTGTTTCATGGGCTCTAGTGAAGCCTCTGGGCTCCTTCTTAGAATAATATTTTTATATGCATAAAATAAAATATGTAGGATTATGAAGGAAACCAATTGTATTTAAAAACAATCATCAAAATATTTTTAAAAATAAGTTCAAAACCCCAGGTTAAGAACCCCTGAACTAGATAAACAGTAATGTTCTTTTCTAACTCTCTAACTTTTTAATATCTAAGTACAGAATTGGAATCATTTATTAAAAGTTTCAAGTATGCAGATTTCAGCTTATTATAAAAAAGAATTTAAAAAGCAAAAAAAAAAAAAAATCAGAGTTGTTTACAAGGGAGTAGGCTTTTTAAAGTAGGTAGCTCCCTATCACCATGGGAATTCCAGAAGATATTGGCCTACAGTCTATCACGGATATTATCCAAGAGATTCTTGCAATAATTGGCAAGATGAGAGGAACTTTAAAGTTCTCTGATTATAACATCCTTGAAAGGTATTAGGTATTTCACCTACCTGTGGAACAGGGCAGTTTTTTGACAAATGACCACGTTTTTCACAATTTCTACAGATGACATTTTTGTCAGCTGAATAGTAGTATCTGCTGGCTCGTTTACCAGATGATCTTTTATTACTTATTTGGGCCTAAAAAATGAAAATAAAGAATTCTGTTATTTATTAAGATTTGTACCAGTCTGACATATGAACCCATTCAATTAAAAGGTAATACTTCCTGGAACTGTCCATTATATTAAAAAATTAAAGGCATTCGAAACAGTGTAAAGAGAAAAAAATTGAGTTGACCAAAATCCCAAAGCCTTGACAAGAAAATAGAAAAAAATCCTAACAATACTGCATGAAATAAGTGTATCTAACAAGGCAGATAAAAATTTATTTCCCTAAAGTCTTGTAAACCTAGTCAAAAGAGCATTGAACTGAAATGGAAGGAGAAATAAAAAATTGCCTGCATATATTTACCAAGCTAGATACAATATCTTACAATGTAAGAATACAACAAAAGTAGAGATTTCCAAAATTTTAGTAAAACCTATAGTCTCAAATGTCCATAGACAAGCAATCAGTAAGGTAAAGCAATGATCCTAGGACAACAAAGAAAATTTGACTAGAAGTTACATTGTTTCTCTCAAGTAAGTAGATGAACAATATTTATGCACTCTGGTAACAAAACAGGTTCAAAAAAGCTCAACTTTTGCCTGTTATGGGATGCATGGACAACAGCTCTACTACAAAATATCTGAGGGTTTTGGTAGAATGCAGGTTAGCCCATTCTATTTTGATATAGCTCCAATTGAGAAAGTTTGTCTTTTCCTCATATTAAGCATAAACCCACCTAGTCTTAGCTCTACCCTCAGGGTCCAAGAAGATAAGTTTAAAGCCTCTTTCACAAGACATCCCTTCACATACCAGAAGACAGCTAACCATTCATTCAATTGATCTCAAGTCTTTCAACACCTTGTTTACCCTCCAGTGGATATTCTCTTCCTTATCAACATTGTTCCGAAATTAGTGACACACCCAGAACTCTATCTGTGTGTCACTGCTGTCCAGTCATACTTCCCTAAATTTGTGCATTGTGTGAAGTGATATTGTGAGACAGCAGCCATTAATGTAGGCACATAGAGGAAGGTCTCATACCACTGTAACTGTCCAGGTATAAAACAGAATGGGCTGACTTGGGAGGTCTTGGGTAACCCACCAATAATTGAGCAGCCTTTGAGCAAACTGGCCAGGTATTTTATGGTGGGAGGAAGGGAAGAACAAGGGTTGTGGTAGTGAATAGTGCAAGGCCTGGAGTCAGGAAGACTCACCTTCCTGAGTTCAAATCTGGTCTCAGACACTTACTAGCTGTGTGACCCTGGGCAAGTCACTTAACCCTATTTGCTTCAGTTCCTCATCTGTAAAAATGAGCTGGAGAAGGGAATGACAAACCACTCCAGTATCTTTGCAAAAAACAAAAAACAAAAACACACAACAAAACAACCCCAAATAGGGTCATGAAGATTTGGATATGACTAAACAACCAAACAACAAAAATTTTATAGAGGGGAATCTTGGTCAGTAAAGGTTATTCTCTCTTTTTTAATGATCACTTTACAAATCAGCTATTATAGTGAAATGTTCTTTTTTCTTTTAGTCAAAGTTGGAAAGGGGAGGAATGACCATTTATAGCCTCAAAGGGCTGGAATGATGAATTAGATTTGAACAATGTGAAAATTAAAAGAGAGAAAATGTGCAATCCTATATGAAGATTTTAAAAAACCAATTGGACAAATGCAAGAGGCATGGCTTAATAGCAAAGGCCTAACAGGCCACAGAGAACCCTAAACTTAATGAATCATTGTTCAATTTCCACTACTGGTCTGTGTCACCTATGCACTGGCTGCTAGGTCTCTTGGGGATCCTGATAGCTTACATAAACTCATTCCTCAATTATTAACATCATACAGTCTCCATCCTTTTGGTTCTTGACTCCAGGCAGTATTTAAACCCTCTTCTCTGCTCTCCATTGCCTTATTATGATTCTTCTCACCTTCACCCCACCAATACCCCACTCCAAAGGCAGCCATCTCTTCCACGGTGCTCTACAGAATGCCTACTCTATATGTAACAAATGTGTTTTCCTCTTTAAACTTTTCCTTTCTCAATTCTTCCATCTCCTGGCACATGCTCACTTTCCTGGCCATTCTTTTCAGTCTTGGCTGTCCTCTTCCTCATAACCACTGACTCATTACTTGTGGCAGGCAGGAGGAGTCAGAATATTCCACGCTTCCGCCGGCTATGCACAGACTCTTCTTCCACCACCCTTATTCAATAACCTCATCTCCTTTCAGTGTCCAGCTTACAGTCCTTCTCTCTTCTCCAACTCACATTCTCATACTGGGGCCCTCAATATAATAATGTTTTCCTCAAACACCTTCACTTTCCAGCTCCCTGGTCTATTCATTTTCCCATGACCTTCTCCATGCTGCCTTGGCAATACACAGAAATGGTCAAATGACATCACCCATAAATTTTCTATTTCCATATTCATAAGCTCTGACACTCCTTTATCTGATTATAATCTGATGCCTTTTCACTTTTTCCTCTGGCTTGCAACCCCTCACCCTGTTCTTCATCTTCACCATTATCTCCAGGCCTCCCCACTCCCCACCTTTCATTTCTTTCCCAGAATATCCATCACCTTTGTACTGGCTATGCTCTCTTCCTTTCCCCGTCTTGACTCTACACTGCACTTCTCTAGAGTCCCTTGCTTCCTTATCCTAGCACTAATCTTGACAGACAATTCTGAGCCTTGGATCGCTCCTACCCTCTGCTGCCTTTACTACCACTCACATGCTGCTGAATGAACTTAGAGAAAATCTTGAAACCATGCTGACTGAGTGTTGTTCTTCAGTCATTTTTTCAGTCATGTCTGACTCTTCATGATCCCATTTGGGGTTTTCTTGACGAAGATACTGAAGTAGTTTGGCATTTCATTCTCCAGCTCATTTTACAGGTGAAGAAACTGAGGCAAAGAAGATTAAGTGACTTTCCCAGGGTCTTCCCGATTCCAGGTCCAGTACTTGGTCCATTGAACCACCTACCTGCCTCATGGGGACTGAGTACACTACAGGTTTGTTACATAGTTTCAATTGGGCTTCATTGCAGCAAGTCATCCCATCAGGCATCCCTAAATTTACTCACTATCTCACACACCACTGTGACTTTTCCAGAACTTTTCATCTCTCCGCAAACTTCTCATGACTCCTCCTTCCTTACTCCTCTCAGCTGAAAACTCTGTCTCACGTTTCACTGAAAAAATTGAGGACATGTTCCAAGAGCTCCCTCTTCTTCCTTCTTCCTTATCCAGTATCAATCGCTCAGATGCCTTATGCTTCTGTCTCCTTCTTCAGGGGGCTATCTCACATGAAGACACAGCCCATCTCCTTGCTAAGGTAAAGCCATCTATATGTATAAGTGATCTCATTTCATCCCATCCTTTCTAGCAGGTTGCCCCCTCTATCTGTATTCTCTCACTAATCTTCAGTCTACTAGATGCTTCCTTACTGCCTACAAACAGTCCTATGTCTCCTCTATCCTCAAAAATTCCTAATTTGATCATGTCCATTTCTGCTGGCTATGATTCTTTCTGCCTCCTCCCTTTCCTGGATAAACTTGAGAAAGCCGTTTTAGGGAGGTTTATAGTAGAAAACTGGAATAGTGGGAGGAGAACTAGATTATAAAGAACTCTGAAGGTCAGAGGATTTTATACTTTATCCTGGAAGTAACAGACAGTCACTAGAGTTTACTGGGTATGGGGGTTGGACACAGTTGGACTTTCATTTTAGGAAAATCACTTTGGGCACTAAATGGAGGACAGACTGAAGCTGGGAGAGGCTTATGACAGGCAGATCCACCAGCAGGCTTTTGTAATAGTCCAGGCATGAGGTGATGAAGTACTGTATAAGAGTGTGGCAGTTATCAGAAAGAGATGTTGCTATGGTGAAATCAATAGGCCTTGGCAACAAATTGGATGGTGTTGTGAGGAATTAAGAATGACACTAATGTTGCAAGCCTAGGGGAATGGAAGGATGATGATACCCTTGGCAGTAACAGGGAAATTTGGAAGGAGGTAGCATTTAGAGGGGAAGATAGTTCCATTTTGGACATGCTGAGTTTAAGATGTCTCCTAGGCATCCAGTTCAAGACATCTGAAAAAGACATCAAGACAAACTGAACATCAGATGAGAGGTTAGGGCTGGAAAGGTAAACTTGAGAATCACTGGCATAGAGATGATAAATTAAATCCATGGGAACTGATGAGATCATTAAGTGAAATAGAATAAAGGGAGCAGAGAAGAGAGTCTGGGACAGAGCCCCGTGGGACACCCATGGTTAGTGGATATGTCCTGGATAAGGATCAAGCAAAGAAGACTGAGAAGGAACAGCTGGATAGGCTGGAGGAGAACCAGGACAGGATGGTATCCCAGAAACTAGCAAGAAGAGAGTATGAAGAAAAAGAAAGTGATCAACAGTGTCAAAGGCTGCAAAGAGGTCAAGAAGAATGAGGACTGAAAAAAGGTCACTGGGTTTGGCAATCAGTAGATCACTGGTAATTTTGGAGAGGTAGTATCAGTGGAAGGATGATGTCAGAAGCTGGAGCGTAGAGAGTTAAGCAGAGAACAAGAGGAAAGGTGTTGGAGGCATCTATTGGAGATGACCATCTAAAGAAGTTTGGCCAAAGAGGCAGAAGAGATACAGGACAACTGTTAGTAGGGACAGAAGGATCAAGTAAGGGTTTTTTGAGAACAGGGGAGAAGTGGACATCTTTGTAGGCAACAGGAAGGAGTCAGTAGACAGAAGAAATTGAAGATAAGTGAGAGTGGGGATGACAGGGGACAATCTTTTGGAGGAGACAGATAAAAATAAGATCATCTGGGCAGGTATCCTCGGCAAGGAGTATAGCTACTTCTTTGTGTGAGATGGGTGAAGGGGGAAAAGAGGGAGCTCTTAGAATAGCCTCAATTTTTTGAGGCAAATATGAGGCAAAGTTCTCAGTTAAGAATGAGGGGAAGGGAAAGCCATGGGAAGCCTAGTTGAGGGTGTGTAACATAAATTTGTAGTGGACCCAGTTAGAACATTTG